AACTTCACCACTGAGCGAAACCTGGCTCTATCATCATACTTATCGCCACTCTCTCTACTGTCTGAAGAAAGTCTAAATCAGTCAGACTGTGATATTAGCTAGCACCAATAGTCGTATTGATCAGACCTTCAACCAGGAGGTCTGATCCTTGACCGGGCCAAGGGGGCGATGACCCCCTACAATCGACTATAGGTAGACTTCATGTAGACTACATGTAGACCCCTTTAAAAAGCGTTAAATATATATATATATATATATATATATATATATATATATATATATATATATATATATATATATATAATATATATATATATATATATATATATATACATATATATACACATATATATATTATATAATATATATATATTAATATATATATTATATATATATATATATATATATATATAATATATATGTATATATATATATAAATATATATATATATATATATATATATATATAATATATATATATATATATATTATATATATATATATATATTTTATAAGTTATTATTGAACATTAACAAGTGTTATTTATCTATCTATTTTAATTTCCGATTTTATCATTGTTAAATTTCGAGCAGAATTTCTGAGTGATTAAGAATTCCCAAAGTGGTAAGTTAATTAACTTAATTAACTGTGAAGTTGTAATTAACTCCCATTGGTTAAGGTTCTTATATCCTTTAATATTCATAGATTCCATTAGAAGAATTTATAGCACATAGAATATTCTCTGTCTTATCTGGTGACACATAGAATATTCCCTGTCTTACTTGGTGACACATAGAATATTCTCTATCTTGTCTGGTGACACATAGAATATTATCTATCTTACTTGGTGACACATAGAATATTCTCTATCTTATCTAATGACAGAATATTCTCTATCTTATCTGGTGACACATAGAATATTCTCTATCTTATCTAATGACAGAATATTCTCTATCTTATCTGGTGACACATAGAATATTCTCTATCTTATCTAATGCCAGAATATTCTCTATCTTATCTAATGACAGAATATTCTCTATCTTATCTGGTGACACATAGAATATTCTCTATCTTATCTAATGACAGAATATTCTCTATCTTATCTGGTGACACATAGAAATTCTCTTATCTATCTAATGACAGAATATTCTCTATCTTATCTGGTGACACATAGAATATTCTCTATCTTACCTAATGACAGAATATTCTCTATCTTATCTGGTGACACATAGAATATTCTCTATCTTATCTAATGACAGAATATTCTCTATCTTATCTGGTGACACATAGAATATTCTCTATCTTATCTAATGACAGAATATTCTCTATCTTATCTGGTGACACATAGAATATTCTCTATCTTATCTGGTGACACATAGAATATTCTCTATCTTATCTAATGACAGAATATTCTCTATCTTGGTGACACATAGAATATTCTCTATCTTATCTAATGACAGAATATTCTCTATCTTATCTGGTGACACATAGAATATTCTCTATCTTATCTAATGACAGAATATTCTCTATCTTATCTGGTGACACAAAGAATATTCTCTATGTATTTTGGTAATAGAATGGTGTGTAAACATTCTGAGGGGTAACAAATGGAATATAAAAGAAGAAGAGAAAGAAGACAGAGGAGGAGTAGACTTCTTGGTCACTGACTCAGGTGGCTTAATAACCCAAGGTAACTCAATGAAGCCAAGTAACGTGGCTTAAGTACCTTTGTCCTTCAAGGCCCGTTCCCTGGATGCCACTCACAAGTGTCGACAAGCACACGGGTACCTGGTTACTCCTAAGTGAACATAGGAAGCAGGTACTAAGAAACTGACATCCAGGTACCTGCTTACTACTGAGTGAACATAGGAAGCAGGTACTAAGAAACTAACACCCAGGTACCTGCTTACAGCTAAGTGAACATAGGAAGCAGGTACTAAGAAACTAACACCCAGGTACCTGCTTACTAAGTGAATATAGGAAACAGGCACTAAAAAAACAACACCCAGGTACCTATTTATTGCTAGGTGAACATAGGCAGCCGGTACTAAAAACTAATATCCAGGTACCTATTTATTGTTAGGTGAAGAAACGCATAGGTGCAAAAAGAAAATACCGATACCTATTTCTGCTGTTGACATAGATAACGTGCTTTCACTAAAACCCAGTAACTATGCAAAATACGTTAAAAACGGCAAAGGGGCTAGAAGACTTCCTAACTGCTTCGACTATCCCCGAAAGAACCCGGGGGCTTTCTATTGTTGTGCGTGAGGGAACCCGGTGCCAGGGGAAAAATTTATTAGATGGCAGGGACTAGTAAAAAAGAACTGAAAGTTGATAGAGACAAAAACCACTTGAGAAAGGAAATTTTAAAGTAATGGAAATGTTGTAACATTGTCGCAAAAACAGCATGGGACATAAACACAATATCGAACACAAAAAAGTAAACAAAACATACGTGTAAAAACACCATGCAAACCTTCAAAAAAAACAAATACCTAAGTTTTAATGTTATTATTTGCTTCAAAGGGCGTTTTTCGCCAATTTCCCCGGAAGCAACGCCTTGACACTTGCGTTGCCAAAACTGCGCCCCGCCCCCCTGTCACCCCTAAGAGACGTATTTTACACTGTAAATTTCCTCTGGTCCTTCACAGGTGAGAAATACCAACAGTGTTGGTCTATACTTAAATATTCAATCTTGAATATCCTCGCAATTTTTCCTACCGCAAAATGAAAGTATATATATATATAATATATATATATATATATATATATATATATATATATATTATATATATATATATAATATATATATATTAAATTTAATTACAGAGAGAAGCCACATAACCAGGTGGAGGAACACGTCACTTCAGATAAAGATTATATATAGCGTCAGGTTTCAACTTGCCATGCGAAAAACTGAGATCGAATAACTATGTAACCTTAGCCGAATCGAAGATTTGATTTGCTTTATATGTAAATCAGTAGGGGGGCCATACAGCGCCTGGGTACTGGGGAAAGTAAGGCAATCAATTTTGATCCCAAAATAGTATTGCTAGCTCAAATTACTTAAGTTAAGAGCCCCTTATTGGTATCAAGGTCCCCTTGTTACCCTCCCTCTTTAAGGCCGCTGACGCAGACACCAACAATAGCAATAACAATAGAGATGATAACAATAGCCATTAAGACAGAAAAGATAGCAAAAGCGATAAAATTAGAAATGCTATCAACAGCTATAAAAGGAGATGTTATATCTAACAGCCATTGCATCAGTACACTCAACAGTGTACTTGCCACTGGAGGATTTTTTAACAGCAGCTGCTAACAGCAGTAAGAGATGAGATGAAGAGGGTGAGGCAACAGTAACGTCAGCAGTAACAGCTTTTTTGTGAGACTAACAGCCTCACCAGTGTAATTAAGAGCAGTTATAATAGTTAGTGTGAAGTATTTATAATTAGGGACCTGACACAACCTGCAGTTACGAGAGTAGAAGTTATAACAACCACAACTACCACCACTACTACCACCACCACTACTACCACCACCACCACCACCACCACTACTACCACCACCACACCACCACCAACCCACCACCACCACCACCACATACTACCACCACCACCACCACCACTACTACCACACCACCACCACCACCACACACCACCACCACCACCACTACTACCACCACTACCACCACCACACACACTACTACACCACCACCACCACCACACACCACCACCACCACCACCACCACCACTACTACCACCACCACCTACTACCCACAACCAACCCACCACACCACCCACTACTACACCACCACCACCACACTACACTACCACCACCACTACTACCACCACTACACCACCACCACTACACCCACCACCCCCACCACCACACTACCACCACCACCACCACCACACTACACCACCACCACCACCACCACACACTACTACCAACCACCACACCACACTCACACATACTCACCACCACCACCACTACCACCACCACACCACCACTATTTACCACCACCACCACAAACTACCACCAAACCACCCCACACCACCCCCAAACTACCACCCCCACCACCACTACTACCACCACCACCACCGCAACAAACCCCACCACCACCACTACTACACCACACCACCACAACTACCACCACCACCATCACCACCACCACCAAACTACCACCACAACTAGCACCACCACCACTACTAGCACCACCACCACCCCCCACCTACCACCACTAAACTAACCCGCCACCACCACCACCACCACCTACTACCACCACCACCACTACTACCACCACTAACCACCCACCACCCCCCATACAACCCACCACCACCACTACTAATACTACTACTTCCACCACCATCACCACTACTACAACAACCATCACTACTAATACTATTACCACTACCACACCACTACTACTACAGCCATCAATACTACCACCACCACCACTACTACCACCACTACCACCACTACCACTACTACCACCACCACTCTATACACTACTAACACTCCCCTACTACCAAACCATCACACAAACCACCACACACTACTACTAGCCATCATACTACCACCACCATCACCACTACTACAACAACCATCACTACTAATACTATTACCACCACCACCACCACCAAAATCACAAACACATAGTCATATCTATCCAAAACAGCATATATTCACACTGAGGTGTACGTCTCTCAGTGTATATACACTGTTAGCTTTACCAAGACCCTCTTTTAGGAGTTAATGGTCATGTCAGTTCCCCTGTTTACCAATATGTTATTTTTCCCCTATAATCTACTTTGTCTATAATTATTATCGCGTTTGCTTTGACTGCTTTCGTAAAGTGAAATCCAGGATCTTTCCTTAATTCATGGTATAATTTAACAAATCTTTGATGTCAATTGGTTAATGACAATTGTCGTTAACCAAACTAACTTAATTCACAAAAACCAACCACCATTCAGTGTTACTGGGGAAGTCTGTCACACCCATATTGACCCCACATTCTACCTCGGGTTGACAGGCTTAGTTGGTGGTCAGTCAGTCACTCCTGATCATCACGAAGTGACAGCAGTCACAAGCATGGCAGCAGTGAGTATGGCAGTAGTGGGTATGGCAGTAATGGGTATGGCAGTAATGGGTATGGCAGTAATGGGTATGGCAGTAATGGGTATGGCAGTAATGGGTATGGCAGTAATGGCTATGGCAGTAATGGCTATGGCAGTAATGGCTATGGCAGTAATGGCTATGGCAGTAATGGCTATGGCAGTAATGGCTATGGCAGTAATGGCTATGGCAGCAGTGGGTATGGCAGTACCTCTAATACCTCTCTGACTCTGAATATTCTAGTTTTCTGTAGTTGAGGTCATATTAAGTTACTGTTCTCGTTGCAGTATCTAGCTACTAAGTGAGCAGGTGGTGTCTTAAGTGGTGTTACATCAGCAGTATCTAGCTACTAAGTGAGCAGGTGGTGTCTTAAGTGGTGTTACATCAGCAGTATCTAGCTACTAAGTGAGCAGGTGGTGTCTTAAGTGGTGTTACATCAGCAGTATCTAGCTACTAAGTGAGCAGGTGGCACCTCAACAGTGTCTATCACAAAATTATTCATGGCAAAATTATTCTTGAAAACAATTACTTGCTGGCACTTTCCTTGCTTATAAATATTAATATATTTAGAAGAAGCGTCAAGAAGAGGATAAGATAAAGGTGATAAATTATTCTTTCCCTGTCACTTAAATATGGTAAGATAATTACACTCAGTGCAAGGAGAGAGTGACTTTCTAAAGACAATTTTTTCCTTTCTATTCGGCACTACTGTCACTATGCCCACCCACTCAAACATAAATAACAAAAAAATAAGAAAAAAAGGCATAATATCGTGACTGGAACGATACACAAATATAAATTTGCATTGTATACAATGCTTCCATCAGATTGATTCAAGGCCTATCAGCTACGAGAGGAGTGAAAGTTGGTTGAAACTACTGTTAGCTGCCCGTCTTGTGGTGTAGCACCTGTCTCCTGGCTGTCCACTAAGTTAGGTCAGCTGGAAGGCTTTGAGAAGTAAGGGACATTTGCATAATAGGAAAGTTACTGATATCTCTTTGATGAATTATTATTATTATTATTATTATTATTATTATTATTATTATTATTATTATTATATTATTGTTGCTATTATTGTTGCTGTTATTATTATTAGTAGTAGCAGTAATGGTATCTATTATTATTATTAATATTATTATTAATATAATTATTATTATTATTGTTGGTATTAGCACTAGTAGCAGTAATGTCTATATGGGGAACCTCTAAATTGAATATAATCGGATATTATCCATGAAAGTGAGTTGGCAGCCTAATTTCCATGGCTTCAGGATCCTTCACTAGCTTCCAGGGTGCTGAATAGGAGTTCCAGGATCCTTTACTAGCTTCCAGGGTGTTGAATAGGAATTCCGGGATAGAAGAGTTTGGGTGTTAGTGTTAGAGAGAGTTAAATCCTCAGGGAAGTTTCGCCAATGTGGATTAATTATGAGACGTGGGTAATGGGTTTCAATGTCCCGTTTAGACTTGGTCACTGTTCATTCAGAAACTTTTTTCCTGGGAGGTTCAATAGAACATTTTTTCCGTCCGTTCCTTGGTACGGCCTGAATGGACAGCTTAAGGATATGGACGGTATGCGCGTACGTGGCAAAGGACACTGTATAAAGAACCTCCGTGTACGTATGTAGCAGTGCACAGGGCGGTAAGCAAGGACATAGTGCGTGTTGTGATTCAGATAACCAGCGACAAGACTTTCTTTCATCTTGGTCAATCAGGCTGTTGGTGCTAGCGTCTGACACACATAACCATCACAACCCGCTGGTAATTATTTTTCTAGAGACAGTGGTCTATTATTCCACAGTGGGTTTATTTAATTACCCACTGTGGGGAGACGACAAAGCCCCACTGTAGCAGGGTCAGAATGGGCAGTCTTCTGCACACCTGCTGCCCCTGTTCACCTAGCAGGAAGCAGGCACCTACAGTAGGTGTTAGTTGGCTGTTGTGGGTGGCATTCTGTGAGGTCACTTAGGAATAATGTAGTTAGGTCACCAGCAGCAGGTACCTGTGGATGTAACTACAAATAAATGACGACAAGTAGGTAATCACGGGCCAGATTGAGAGAGTGAGAGACAGAGAAAGTGAGAGACAGAGTGAGAGACAGAGTGAGACAGAGTGAGGGACAGTGAGAGACAGAGTGAGGGACAGTGAGAGACAGAGAGAGAGAGAGACAGAGTGACAGAGACAGAGAGCGAGGGACAGTGAGAGGCAGAGAGAGGGACAGTGAGAGGCAGAGAGAGGGACAGTGAGAGGCAGGAGAGGACAGTGAGAGGCAGGAGAGGGACAGTGAGAGGCAGAGAGAGGGACAGTGAGAGGCAGAGAGAGGGACAGTGAGAGGCAGAGAGAGGGACAGTGAGAGGCAGAGAGAGGACAGTGAGAGGCAGAGAGAGGGACAGTGAGAGGCAGAGAGAGGGACAGTGAGAGCAGAGAGAGGACAGTGAGAGGCAGAGAGAGGGACAGTGAGAGGTAGAGAGAGTGAGAGACCGAGTGAGACAGAGTGAGAGACAGAGAGAGAGACCTTCACAGGCTTAAGAGCATTGCATACCGGAATTCGGGAGATAATGCTGGAATTATTATTATTATTATTATTATTATTATTATTATTATTTCATGGTGAAGTGCTAAAACTGTAGGGGTTATATAGCGCCAGAGAACGATATGTAACAAGGTTTGATTCGAGAAAGAGGAGGAAACTAGCTCCATAATTTGCCCTCTCCTGTTACCTTTCAACTGTTAAGATACAAACAGGCACTTGCAACAGAGAGAAAAAAAACCGGCATTAAAAACGAGAAACCATTGATTAAAACAGGGTAACTATGGTTTAATTAAACCACTCTAGTGAAAATGAGAGCCAATTCAGTCATGTTCATGGTAAGGTTCGATGAATATGCAAACTATATTGAACTCGGCCGTACTCGTCCTCGCAATAAATAAAAAAAACTAAATCCGAGATTTTTTTAAAAAAAATTTTTAGTTTTTTTTTGAGTTAGGGGGTTACGGGGGTGAGAAATTTTCGAAATTTTTATTAATTGCCTTTGATGGTAGTGGGTTGTTCTCTGACAGCCAGTTAGTCTGCTAATTCGTCAGTTAGTTAAAAAGTCAGCCTGATAACTGCTGAGTCAGTCAGTCTTCCAGTATGTTAATTAGTTAGCCTGTTAATTGGTCAATTACTTAAACAGTCACCCTGATAGCTGCTATGTCCGTCAGTCCTCAAGTCTGTTAATTAGTTAACCTGTTAACTGGTCAATTAGACAGTCAGCCTCTTAATTGCTTTGTCAGTCAGTCCTTCAGTCTGTTAAGTGTTAATTAGCAGTCCTGGAGAGACCTAAACTTCGTTGCGAGGTTTCGCCACTGGAACTGTATAAGCACTAGTTAACACTGTGGTAAACACAGAAATAGACATGAACACAGATTTATATGGACAAACACAGATTTACATAGACGAACACAGGTTTATATAGACAAAAACACAACTTTATGTAAATGTAACACACATTTTATTGAATGGGAGGATTATAACAGATTTATATGGACATAGCACAGATTTTATATAGATTATAAACCTATGGAAAGTGAAATTATCTTCCATGGTAGCATGAAATTATCTCTCATGGTAGAGTGAAATTATCTCTCCCATGGTAGCAGTGAAATTATCTCTCCCATGGTAGCAGTGAAATTATCTCTCCCATGGTAGCAGTGAAATTATCTCTCCCATGGTAGCAGTGAAATTATCTCTCCCATGGTAGCAGTGAAATTATCTCTCCCATGGTAGCAGTGAAATAATTATCTCTCCCATGGTAGCAGTGAAATAATTATCTTTCCCATGGTAGCATTGTAATTATCTCTCCCATGGTAGCAGTGAAATTATCTCTCCAATGGTAGCATTGTAATTATCTCTCCAATGGTAGTAGTAAGATTATCTCTCCTCCTTCGATAGAAGTAAAATTCTCTCATTCTCTCTCTCTCTCTCTCTCTCTCTCTCTCTCTCTCTCTCTCTCTCTCCTCTCTCTCTCTCTCTCTCTCTCTCTCTCTCTCTCTTTGGCTGTCTATAGAAGCCGATGATCTTATCATAAGATAATGTATTTGGTCCAAAGATTCCTTAACTATGGTTAGATGATCTGACTGGCTTAGTCATTATGGGATTTTCGTATTAAAGTCGTTATTGTTTGACTTCCTTTGTCGGCCAGCGGTTCCATTAGCACGCCAGGGTGCCATCAACGATGGTAATGGTGGCAGTGGTTCTTTGATGAAGGTACACACACACACACACACACACACACACACACACACACACACACACACACACACACACAAACGGAACAGAAATTCTTACCCAGAAATAGGTCAGGCATCAGAGAAATTATAGACCATGGTTCCCCCAGAGTGCATAATGAACCCTTGGTTCCCCCAGAAGTGCATAGTGAACCCTTGGTTCCCCCAGAAGTGCATAGTGAACCCTTGGTTCCCCCAGAGGTGCATAGTGAACCCTTGGTTCCCCCAGAAGTGCATAGTGGGCCCTTGGTTCCCCCAGAGATGCATAGTGAGCCCTTGGTTCCCCCAGAGGTGCATAGTGAGTCCATGGTTCCCCCAGAGGTGCATAGGGAGACCATGGTTCATTCAGAGATGCTTAGTGCATAGTGAGCCCATGGTTCATTCAGAGGTGCATAGTGAGCCCATGGTTCATTCAGAGGTGCATAGTGAGCCCATGGTTCATTCAGAGGTGCATAGTGAGCCCATGGTTCATTCAGAGGTGCATAGTGAGCCCATGGTTCATTCAAGGTGCATAGTGAGCCCATGGTTCATTCAGAGGTGCATAGTGAGCCCATGGTTCATTCAGAGGTGCATAGTGAGCCCATAGTTCATTCAGAGGTGCATAGTGAGCCCATGGTTCATTCAGAGGTGCAGTCAGGAGAAAGCTGAAAGTACAGAAACGTGGAAGAAATATAGGAAACAAAGAACACAAGAAAACTAGGAAGCGAGCAGAAGAGCTG